TTTCATACTAATATATGAATTAAATAATTAAATAAATTAATATTTTATAGATTGATAAATGGCCACACCCGTTTTCATTTGATATGACAGAATATAATGAAAGAGATTTTAATACAATTGTTAAATATTCATGTAAAACTAAAAATTTAACTTCGAAAATTGCAAAAACAATTATAATTGGTGATGTTTCAGTTGGAAAATCATGTTTAATAAATCGGTAACCATATTTATTATATAAAATTATAATTTCATAATATTATATGTACGATAATATATATTAATATGAATTTATTATATAAAATTTACTATAAATTATATATTATCGTTAAACTAAATAAATATCATTTATATTTCAGATTTTGTCACAAAATTTTTGACAATAATTACAAAGCAACAATTGGTGTAGATTTTGAAGTAGAAAAATTTGATATTCTTGGCGTACCTTTTCATTTACAAATGTGCGTTCATTTAGATTAAAAATTTTATTGTGTAATTTTTTAATAAATAATTTCTTAATAATAATTTTTTAATAATAATTTCGGAATAAATAAACTTCACAATATTAAAATTAATAATTAATATTGATTACAATATTAATTATAATATTATTATAATATTAATAATTGCTATTAAATATCAATTAAAAATTATAAAATAATCTTTATATAGTATATTATTATATTATTATTTTATTATTATAAAATAATTTTTAATATACTTTGACTATGTGATAAAAATTTCAGATGGGATACAGCAGGTCAAGAAAGATTTAAATCCATAGCTGCATCTTATTACAGAAATTCAAATGGTATAATGAATATTTATCATGTATTATAAATATGAAAATTAAAATATTATAAAAAATCTATGTATAATAAAATAGAAAATTATATAAGAAATGTATATATTTTAGTGATCATGGTAGTTTTTGATTTGGCTAATTTAATATCATTAGGACATTGCGAACAATGGTTAAATGAAGCTGTTCAATGTAATACAGAACCATATCATACATTTTTAATAGGCACAAAACAAGATTTATTGGTAATTGTATGATTTATTAATAAAAATCAGAATAAGCAATTTTAAGCAATTAAATTTTATTAAATTATGTATTTATTTTTTGTTATTAAATTATATATTTAAATTAACAAAGAAAATATTTTATAATTTGAATTGTTCAAATATTTATATAGAAAATTAGTTATAAATCTTTTTTGTAATTAATAATATTTAAAGTACATTAATATTATGGTAGTGTTATTATATAAAAGAATATTTTGAGCATAATAAATATTATGTTTATATTAATTATAAATTATAAATTAATATAATTATTCTAAACGAGAAATAAAAAAATTTTTAGTCCAATGAAATATATAGAATAATAGAAAAACGAGCAGCCAAAGTAGCGCGGAAAATGAAAGCTGAATTTTGGGCTGTTTCCGCCAGAACTGGAGTCGGAATATCAGAACTATTCACAAGAGTAGCTGCATTATCTTTCCAATCCATAATTCTAAACGAATTACAAAATATGAAGCCAGAATCAATTAACATTGGTTCAAATTTAATAAGTATGTATTTTATTCGATTATAATTATAAAGTGAATGAAAATATTTTATTTTAAATAATTAAAATATTTTATAATCATCAATATTTATTAAATATTAAGAATTATTCAAAATCACAACTATATATTTATTATTTTAAATTAATTAATTTTATTTGAATAAAAATTATTTGAATATAAGTTTATTAAAGTAATAAGTAAAAATATTAGATATAATAAATATATAAATTGATTTAATAGTTAATAATTAATTTAATTTATTGAATATATAAGTATATTATTTATTTATTCAATAATTATTTATTGAATATATAAGTTAAGTATTAAATTTATTAAAAAATTATAAATTAGAATTGTTATTAAATTAAAAATAANTTTCCTGTATTACATTATATAAAAAAAAAAGAAAAACAAAATTAATTTATATTATAAATTAAATAATATTATAAGTAAAATTATGAATAAATATATATGTAATAAAAAAAAACAATAATACATTTAAATATGATTTAATTTTTAAAAATATTTCGTTATTATAATTATATATAATTATATATATTGTTCAAATAAAGCGCGCATAAAATAATCTTCCGGTTACGTATTGCAAGTAACCTCATCTAACAATCTTTCTTTCTTCCTTATATAATTTTATCTTTTTTTAAATTGTATTGAAGATATTTCACATAATTGAAAAAGTACATTTCACTGATAAATCTGTGAGACGATTAGAGAAAAAATATTATTTTGCGCTTTTAATGCCAATGCATCTAACATATATATATTGTTGCATATATGAATATTACACAGTAGTGAAGCCAGTGTGGTTACATTGTTTTACGTGAGTGTAACGTGTTGCAAAAGGAATTAAATTGACAAAAGTGTCACGTGCTTATTTCGTATCTTCGATCCTTATTGAGAGAAATTTTCTATAAGAAGAATATTTCAGCTCTTAATTAAAATTTTCTTCATTCAAAAATTATTATTTAGGTAAGTTTAAAAATGTATTCCAACAGGTGGTAATGATAGTAGTGGTACTACATGCTATTGTACAAGATCATCGATCGAGAAAATATATGGAAAAGTTTTGAAAAATATAATTTCTTAGTTTTGATTTTTAATTAAAAATGTGATCAGTTTTTTATACATAGATATAAATGCGTATTTTTACAAAGTAATAATTAATTTTTATTAAAATATTACATTTATTAATTTAGAATTATTAAATAATTTTATATATATATATATTATAGTCATTTTTATTATTACATTATATATAGATATATTACATTTTTTATTAAAATTATTTATTATTTTTCTTTATTATATCTAATTTTGATTATTTCTTATTATTTTATATATTAATAAAT